TCAATAAATCTATGTATCCTCACTGCAGTAGTATAAATATGAAATTTCTTTGTCTGTTTTAATGTACATTAGCTTCTCAGTCAAAAGTTAAGTTGACTTAGATTGATTTCTGAGTAACACGTTAAAACATTTCTTCGTGCTGCTTGTACATATCCATACTGTTCTAAGGGTCTATATAGCAATGCTCTATCAGGCTTCATCAGGCTTCGTTGACTTGCAGCTGAGTCTTTGGAGGAGCAGATGGGCATGTAGATGGAAGTAGGCTATAGAAAGGGATCCCTGCAGGTTAATTCTTCTCTGGAAACTTTGTGTATCAATTGAAAACAAGCATCCTGGGTAGCAAAAGTGACTGAATAAGTAGGAAAATTTAAAACTATTTTAAGAATTGCCAGTGAGACAGAGGAAATATTTCAAGGCTCAGCTTAGCTTCACTGCATGTTCTGAAATTTTTCCCATAGAAATTCCTCAAGGACAGCCAGGAGTAGGGGGTGCTGTAATCCCAGCACTCAGGAAGTCAGAGGCTGGTGGAGCTCTGTGAGTTTGAGGCTGCTCTGGTCTGTAACCACAAAGTGAATCCAGGACAACCAGGGCCACACAGAAACCCTGTCTCACAAAAACAAAACCAAAAAAAGGAAAAGTTTAAAGAAATTCCTGAAGGAATATTAAAACTTTAATGCTTTTATTTTGACATTTATTTATTTATTTAGATTGTTCGGAACCTCATTTATTCTTGGTATACATATAAACATATACATGATCCCATGGTATCTATAAACATTAATTTTAGAAGGATATGTTCCTGTATCTCTTTTCAATAAAAAAACAAAAATATTTAAAAATACTTCTAATACATGTATTTATTACAATTTAGTCACTTTGTATCCCAGCTGTGGCCTCCTCCCTTGTATCCTCCCAGTCCCACCCTCCTTTCCTTTTCTTCCCCTATGCCCTTTCCCTAGTCCCCTGATAGGGGAGGACCTCCCACTTGGAGACTAAGCAGCCTATGGGCACCTGCTGAGTGTGTGTGGTGGTGGTGGGGGGGTCTAGCTCTTATAATTGCATCGTTTTCCTTCCCTTTCCATCCTTGAACTTCTTTCATTTACACCCATGCTCTTTCTGATATGTGTGTGTACATATACATTATATATATTCTTAAATATAAAAATGCAACCTGCTCAGCCTGTATAGTGTTACTTGTATGTATGGATTTTTACTTTCTCATTCTGGCCTAACTATCAGATCCTTTTAGCTAGTCTTAAGGTACTGAAACTCAGTGGCAGGGAACTGAGAGATTATTAGACAGTTTCCTTTTCAAATGTATTCAGTTTACAGTCAAATCCTCAACATATTGCAGCACAGTGCTTGTAGCAATCCAGAAAATTACAAATGAAAAATATGAATCATTTTAAACATTTATTAAAATTATAAACTACTCAGAAATTGAACTGTAATGGATTATTAAATTTTTAAAAAAGTTAATTCATTATGTAGCCAATGTTCTGCCTGCTTGTACACCTGCATAAGAGGACACCAGATCTCATTATAGATGGTTGTTAGCCAACAGATAGTTGCTGGGAATTGATCTCAGGACCTTTGGAAGAGCAGCCGTGCTTTTAACCTCTGAGCCATCTCTCCAACCCCTTATTAAATCACTTTTTAATGGACAAATGAAGAATTTCCTAAAGATTTAACTATACAAATAAAGTTTTCTTGTTAATGTTGTGTACTTTTTAGGAGTTTGAAAAACATTTTTTAAAGTGTTTTTATGCCTATAATAAAATGAATTAACTAGAATTACCAGGGAAAATGCTTGCGTTGGAATACAAAACAGAGTTCTAAAACTCCAGTTAAATACTGAAACATGTTAAACTTTATTTCCAACAAGCTGTTGCTGTTAAAAGTTGTCTCTGCAGTTTATAAATGAATGCCTACTACAGCGTAGTTAGGAATGTTGGATGGACTGTTTCCTGTGGGACTGTGCCATTCATTCAGTGCTGCTGTGACTCTCTTAACCCCTGAGTCTTAGCTGGTCACTTTTACTCTTGGCTGGTGGTGTCCACAAAAGGTATAGCTTGCCTTTGTATGTTGGAAAATTTACATTATTCTAGCTGTCCCTTTCTGTGTTAGCACTTATTAGAAAACCCTACGTTCTGCTGTGCTCCTTTCATCCTTCACTTAGCATGTTTTCACCCAATCTGTGATGATTATATATTTCATATTATTTATGGTAATAGAAATATCTGGAAAAATATAAAAATTCTCTGTAATTATCAAAACCTTTTTACTAAAGAAAGAAAAGTCGTTATGAGGTATTTTTCCTAAGGTGGCAATATTTGTTCAACCCTTGGAGGCCCTGAGACATGGCAGTGGCAGCACATTTGATTTCATATTCTGTAGTCACCTAGAATTCTGTACTACTTATTTTTTAAATACAGTATCAAGAAGTGAAACTATATAAGACATATTTCCACTTGGAAAATATATTGACTAGGTGAGAACAGATGAGGTTTTAGACAGCTGAGTGCACGCCAGCCCAGCTCTATGTTGAGGCTGTTATACAAACATGTCACTAAGTTTTGCTACCACATACTGTGTGCAAGAAAATTTATTATTAACCTAAGATCACAACAAATCTCTAAAACAAATGTAAAGTTTGTTAGTCTTCAAACTCCAGGTTTTTAGAATTGTAAGAAAAAAGAGAAAAGGATAGCTGTGCGCCTATGTTGTTGCTGACCAATTGCAGTGAGGCGTACAGGAGGTGCTCACTAAGAATGGGACACACGTTATTGGCCACATTCATTTTTAAAAGGCATTTTCCCTGTAAAATAGAATTTCAGAAGATAGAGTTATAAACTTTATACTGAAATTCCACTTAATACATCTTTTTTAACTGTAATCAAATAGTGTATATGAATTTATATTTAATTTCAGGTATTATGACATTTTAATTGTGAGACTGCCATTTTTAAGATTTTATGCTTTCATTTTTTTTTCTTTTTATTATCTATTACAATTTATTCACTTTATGGCCCCTTTCTGGTCTCCTCACAATCCTCCCTCATCCCCTCCCAGTCCGACCATCCCTCCCTTTTCACCTCCTATGCCCCTCCCCTAGTCCACTGATAGGGGAGCTCCTCCTCCCCTTCCCTTTAACCCTAGCCTATCAAGTCTCATCAGGACTGGCTGCATTGTCTTCCTCTGTGACCTGGCAAGGCTGCATTCCCCCACGGAGAGGTAATCAGAGAGCCTGCCACTGAGTTCATGCCAGAGACAGCCCCTGCTCCCCTTTCTAGGAATAGTACTACCTCAAGATGTAGCTATACCACTCCTAGGCAAATATCCGAAACATGCTCAACTATACAACAAGGACATTTGCTCAACCATGTTCACAGCAGCTTTATTTATAATATCCAGAATCTGAAAACAACCCAGATGTCCCTTAACTGAGGAGTGGATTCAGAAATTGTGGCACATTTATACAATGGAATACAACTCAGCTATTGAAAACAAGGAAATCATGAAATTTGCAGGCAAATGGTGGGAAATAGGAAAGATCATCCTGAGTGAGGTAACCCAGAAGCAGAAAGACACACATGGTTTATACTCACTTATAAGTAGATATTAGACATATAATATAGGATAATCATACTAAAATCTATACACCTAAGAAAGCTAAGCGAGAAGGAGGACCCTGGGGAAGATGCTCAGTCCTCATTCAGAAGGGCAATGTGAGACTGACTTTTAAATTGAGCCTGTTCTTTAGACCGTCCCTTTTTTATGTGCGCACGAAAAAGTACTGAACTTGACATAAAAAAAACAGTCACATTTTTATTCAATGATAAAAGTTCTCTGAATGATTTTACTTCTATTCTGTGATTTTTTTAAAAAAAAAAGTATTATGTCAAGATATAAAATAATACAGGATGAATCCAGTACTGTGGTTGTTCTTGCAAACTGTATTACATATAATTCGTGTTACAGAAGAGACTGTGTTCTTTTTTTTTTTTATCTCTAATTGCCCGTTTTTTCAATTTCAAAATTCAGAAAGTATTTTTAGGCAAAGTGGGACTGCTGGTGAGATTGTTCCTGCTTTACTGTCTATAAATACTTGCTTTCCTATGACTGCAATTGGGTCAGGAGGTAACTGTCTGAAATATATTTAACATATATGTTACTTTTGAGTTCTGAGGATTGGTCTTCGAAATCGTGGGACTGATTAGACTCCAGTTATGATCACATTAAGGTGTATAAGCATTATGGAGTTCTGTAAGGGACAGGTGTCAACAGTTACTGGCCAGTTAGGTGTAAGTATTCTTGCTTCAACAAGCAATAAGTTTTACAGGTCAGAGAGGTCACTTTTTTTTTTTTAATTCCAAATTTATCCAGTACCCCTGAGAGTTGTTGGATCTAGCTAACGCGCACTGAGGTGGATGGTAGAAGTTACCTGGTCTCTATGGAATGATTTCTATTTGGAGGATGTATTTAATTATGGATATATACTTCAAAGCTGTCCTATTTTCCTGTAACCTGCATCCAATCTTGTTCTTAAAATATTCAAGTTATTAGTACACTATGATAATGCTATTACTATTTTTACATCTTACTCTGCTTGTTGGTAAACATCGTGGGTAACTTTCTCTCCTCTGGCAAATCCTACAAAACATAGTTCAATGTCTTCAAGCTAGGTTAAGTTCACATGTTCACATGTTCTCGTCATTGTAGAAAGCAGGCAGCTTGGTTTGCACTCAGTGCAGCTGAGCAACTCATTTACTGGGGACTAAATGAAAACATATTTGGGTTATTTAGAACTTTTTGAACTTAGTCAAAATTTACTCAGGATATGCTGGGACAACTTCCTTTTTGGCCTACACAGTAATTTTAAGCTTTTAAGCTCTTCTTCTTCTTTTTTTTTTTTTTTTCAAAATCAATTTCATGCATCATGACCAAATAGCAGAAAGGCATTAAAGATCAACTGAGCTGCTTTTTGACTAACATTTCAGGGATTGTGAAGCAGCAGATAGACAGCCATATCACAGATCCAGATCAACAGAACACCGGCCTCTCCTAGAGCGGACCACCACCCGCTCCAGATCCTCTGAACGTCCTGATACAAACCTCATGAGGTCGATGCCTTCATTAATGACTGGAAGATCTGCCCCTCCTTCACCTGCCTTATCGAGGTGAAAGATAACTTGATCAGACTAACTTCCCTGTCTGCGCTACCAACACACCATTTTATTTTCCCAACAGCTAAATGGTTTCTTCTATCATTTTTTTGGCTGATCACCAGTACAAGTCTATACTAACCTTGTCAGTGTAAACACACTATTTATATTCATTGGATATAATAGTGTGTCATTGCCATTGTGATTTGTTTCTTAACTGTCCTGATTGCATTTGTTTTGTGATCTCTCATTAATCAGGAGTCCTGGGTAAATTCCATCATAACTATCATGTTCTTCTACAGAATGAGAACTTATGGTGCTTATTAGGCATGACTTTTCTAATAATCATCATAATAGTAAATAAAGTTAGATTTATTTAGTTTCTATGAACATTAATATTAGAAATTATCAGAATTAAAAAAATATCAGAATTTGTATTGCTTGGTATTTCATTTATAGATTCATGAATTGTTTTCTAATAAGAATGATATGTAGTATAAACTTAAGTATAACTCTGAATAGGTCAAGGTAGGAAGGTTAGTTTTAAGAATTTATACCATGCATGGAGAGGACCTAGACCTCCTGCCCAGATGTAGCCTATTAGCAGCTCAGTCTCCATGGGGGTTCCCTAGTAAGAGGAGCAGGGGCAGTTTCTGGCATGAACTTTGATCTCCTTCCCCTGATGAGGTGGCCTTACTAGACCACAGAGAAAGAGGATCCAGACAGTCTTGATGAGACCTGATAGGCTTGGGTCAGATAGTAAGGGAGGACCTCGCCTACCAGGGAACTAGGAGAGGGACATGGGGGGAGAAAAGGGAGGGAGGGTCAGACTGGGAGGAGATAAGGGAGCAGACTACAGCTGGGGCACAAAGTGAATAAATTGTAATAAATAATAAAAAAGAATTTGTGTCATGATAGAAAAATTGTAAAGTTTTATTTTTTATTTTTCAAGTTGTAGAATTTTCCACTTGCTTTCCTGTGAATAGATTAGTACTTTATTTTACTAATTTCATGGATTTTACTATAGGCTTTTGTGTCCATGTATGTGTGTATTTATGCATTTTACACCAAAACATAAACATTTTTTGGTGTTTAAGTAAGTGTTCAATGTCCATATTTTGTCCTCTTCTCTTTTTACCCAGCAGTCAACCATGTTTAAAATTGCACTAATACAGCCATTATGAAAAGCAGCTAACATACTGACCATACCTATCGCATACTGAAAATGTATAATGGTGCATCTTGTAGGTCTCACCCTCGTACCGGGTCTGTCCAGACAAGTCCATCAAGTACTCCAGGAACAGGACGAAGGGGCCGACAACTTCCACAGCTTCCACCAAAGGGGACATTGGAGAGAAGTAAGTTTTTAGTTTTCTAATTATGCTATGTAGGAATTACACATGGAAGCTGAGGTGAATTGAGACTTTCTGCTATCTTTGTGTTTTTATCTTTTTGTATTTAGCAATATGGATGGCTTCATTTGATAGTTGTTTTATTTGTATATATACATACATATACAAATTAGACTTGCAGATAAAAAGAAACAATCTTTATTTACTTTGACATGCATTTCAAATTTAAATAAGTACAAAATAAGTCTTATGTAAACAGCTGGATTATAATGTCTTTGCTACATCTAGGATTATGTAACATTGGTGATTATACAAAGTTTATTAGTAACTAGCGAAATCAATTTTCACACACTGCAGAGGACTGGTTAGCTGATGCAAAACAATGGTGACCCTTCCCCAAACTGGAGAGCAAGCAAAAGGTGACCCCGCATACACAGAAACCGGTGCATGTTGTTCTGACGCTTTGAGAAGTGTCGCTGTGCCTCGGCCACGTGAAAAGCTGACACACTTGAGCACACATCTCAAGTCGCATAGATCTCAGTAATAAGTTTCTCTCAAAGCATGTAGAATGGAACAAAATAAATTTTATGTCTTTTAAATCACAATCCCTTCAGTTAGTAACTCTATTTTGAGGATATATATACTATTTTGAGGATGTATATATATATATATATATATATATATATATATATATATA